TTTTCTTATTTCTTTTCAGTGAACACCATTCTCGCTGGAGTGCGACCCATATTCAATATATATATACTAGTACAACACTCGTGTATTACACGGGTGCTTGTTAAAATAATATTCATAAATTTTAAAATTAATGAGAAAACTATATTAAATTTAGTTTACTTTTTTACAAAAAATTATATTACTATATATTTTAGAATGATATGTGTTACTTATGACTTACATGTGTTATATTATATTAGTTTTTATAACTTATATCATATAACTACTTGAAATATAAATATATTAGTTGATAAATAATTTTATTTTTCTAATTAATATTAAAAATAATTTTATTATCTATACTTATATAATAAGGTATCCTATTTACTAAATTCAGTAGGTTGAAAAGTTAACGTAATTAATGCATTGCTATTTCTATCCAGAATTTTATATAATTATTTTATTTATTTGTCTTATATCCCATAAAATCGGTTTAAAAACAAAATATCCCATAACATCTGATAAGTAAAAAAAAAGTAGGTAAAATTTTTACTAAAATAAAAAAGGCTTTATTTATTCTCTAATTTTATGGAAATCTGTACTGATTTTGTTCAAACCGATTTCTGTATATTCAGATTTTTTCATAAAAATATTAATAGCAATATATATCTACTCTATCCATTATAAATTACAAATCTCAAAATATCGAGTCATTATCTTTCTCACTGTCAACATCATTCGAATAAAAAATATCCCCAATCAGACTTTTATTCAAAACAATGAATAAAGGATTTGGTTTAATCAAACAAGTCAATAGGTCTAATAGACCTATGCTGAGAGTTCGAATTGTAAGAATATTTTTTCAAGACTGGGGCAACACATACAAATCATATCTCGAGTTGGTTCTGCATGATAAAACTGTAAGTCAAATTATTTGAATTTTTATTTTTTTTTTAATTTCGAACTTTGAAACATATAATTTTAATTTTTTTGTTTATATATTTTCGTTTATGCATTTAGATATTTTTGTACATGGTTCGTACGCCATGACCATAAACAAGAGTCAGACAATCTTTATCACACGTTGGTCTTTTTCTAAAGAAACCTGTCTTTAGTCATGACCAATGATATGTTGCTGTTTCGCGTGTAACTAATAGAAGGGGTTGAAGATATTAGTTTGTGAGAATAGTTTCCCCATAATCAAACTCATAATGTTGTGTACAATGAGGTCTTTAATAATATATGATTGTTTATTTGTCGAATACTATTTTATTGTACAATTTTACTGCGTATTGTAAAACTTTTATTGAATATTGCATCTTATAATATAATAATCCCTAAATAATTATATCCCATGCCTCACATATGTCACGTACTATATATATCCCGTTTTCTTTATTTATTTATATAATTATAAGGTTGGATAAATAACTTTAAAATTGTGCATTCCGTGCATAGCACGGGGTTCTGTACTAGTTGTCATAAAGATAAGTACAAATTATTTTTTCTATACATACAATATGGATGTTAAATCGAAGCTCATCAAAAGAAGATTAATTTGATATATTACATATGTAAAACTGATAAAAAATACAAAAGTTATTTGCTTTTAAAATATATATACAATTCAATAGTTATAATAAGGAATGATATTAAAATACAATTAATAAATGTAACATGATCATAAATAATCAACATATTTATGGTAATCCGAACCTAATTATTTTTGGTTTGGAATTAAATTAAAATTTACCCAAGCCTAATAACGAAACATGTGATTTTGCCACATAAGATTTCGAAGCACCAGAAACAACCACGTAGGCTCAGCGCGTTCTGTATTGTATTAATATATAGGAGGGAATTATGGTTTTCTACCATTTTTTTTTTACTTAAAAATATTGAAAATTAATGTTCAAGTCAAAATAAATGTTTGGTGATAAAAAGTACTTATAATAAATATACTTTATTTTATTAAAATATATATAGAAAATCGTAACACTAGGTAGAATTTTTATTAAAATATTTATAGAAAATGGTAACAAGTTATGTAGAATTTGTTCTTTCAATTAATCAGACAAAATCAAGTTGGTGAATTAGTCTTTTCCTATATAATTTTTTCTTAAGCTTTAATTCGTTATATATAATAAAATAAATTATTTTTAAAATTAATATAAATTTACCATTTAAGATATAATTACCAGATACATTAAATAGTTCTATTAAGATAAAAAATTAAAATTAAAATATATTAATTTTTCTTTAGAATTTATTTGTATATTATTGGCAACCATAGTTTTTTTTTTTTTTTTTTTTCATTTGCTAAATCAAAGTTGTTTATTAATATACAAAATTAAATTCTAAAAAAACATGTGTTTATATTTTGTAAAATATTTATACACTATTTAATTTAAAATTTATTTGTATATTTAAAATTGATTACATAGATAAATAATACTAACGTGCATCAAATATTTTTCATTAGATAAAACAAAAAGAAAAAGAAGACGTACAACTTCTAACCTTTATAAATAAATGACATTATATGTCAACAAAGTTTATAATAAAATAATAATTAAGTATTATATGTGAACAAGAATAAGTAAAACTGTTATCTTCTCTTACATCAAGGAATAAATATATATAATAAAATCAAATTTACACGAGTATAAATGTGTTAGTAAAATAATATACAAATTATTTTACAAGCAAACCCTAAAGGGGTGATTGTTTATGAATTCATCTAGTTTAACTAGTTATTTTTTAACCATAGTTACTTTTGAAAAAAGTTAGTATGGTTAGTTGTTAGTGGTTATATTATTATAATATTTTAAATAAAATAATTAAAGTTGATATGATGTAAAAGTAAGAGAAAAATGATTGGAGATGATAGTTAGTTAAAATTATGTGAGTAGATGAATAGTGAATTAAAGTTGATGTGATGTAAAGAATGATTGGTTGATATTATTTAATTATATTGATAATATTGGAGATAGTGGGGTTGAG